TAATATGTTATTTTGTAACAAATAAAACAACAAAACTCTCCTAGACACCTTCATATTAGTTGATTTAACAATGTAAATTTAGTTTCTTCAAATCTCACATTGCAAACCTAAATTATGAATATTTTAGAGCAATGCTTTTCTCTTATCTCCTAATAAAAGCGCTATACAAAAAGTACACAGGCTACTCAAAAGTAATGTGTCCATGTTTGCAAGGCATAAAATTTTTCAAAGTTAACATTCAGAACTTGATATACCTTAAAATCAATAGGGATGATTAACAGGAGATATTTGGTTGTGTTGTGTCCCACCTCTGCAACCTCAAGAAAAAGCTGTTACAAAACTGGTAATAGAGCTTACAGTTTCTGGCAATTTTTAATTATGAAAAATGAGATTATGTATTTTTAAAAAAGAAAGCAAAGCACTGTTATTGCATGTGTTTTCTTGGTAGCAATGGAAACTGATTTATCATGGGGTATGTAGAAATGGCATGCTGAGAGCCAGGCTGGGTATGTAATTTGCATAGAAGAGGGAGCAGATTGCAGATGCCCTGACCTGTCAAACACAGGTAGGGCCTCAGAGATAATGGGTCCCAGAATACAAAGCCCCGTCTTGATCCAGACAGACACACACAACATGGAGATGCCAGATGGATTAAATGAGAGACAAAAACGCGGCTTCTGCCATCTCCACAGGAAGAACGTAAGTGTTACTGAAGATGACAGATACCAGATACCACATGGATCCCACCCCCGTCTCTTGGCCCCCATTGTTGTGTCCATGCCATGACTGCAGCACTGCTGAGGAGAGGCAAGTCTGTTTGGTGCCATGAAGACAGTCACTGGGGAGGTGCCCGACCCAGCTGACAAGAGCACTCAGCCATGCCCAACCTACGTGTCTTACTTGTAAAGAGGAAAAGTGCCACATGATGGTGGAAAACCAGAGACTGACTGGTGCACTGTGCCGGGATCTCTTGTTCTTCAGCAAACCTCCATCTGCAGCTTTCCAACCACGACCCTCTCTATCCCAAAGCTTCCAGGTGCTCTGCAGCCTTACAGTGTCCAGAGAATACGTCTCTTTTCAGGTCCACATTCATCAGTAACACGGCATTTTCCTTTCAACAGGCAGCTGTCACTGAGGCAGACCACAAGAAAAAGATCTGAGGCCCCCGAACCCCTCCAAGCACGGGCAGTGAGAGATGCTGAATAGGCAGCCAGGGGATGCAGGACTGAGGGACAGGCCCACAAAAGTGAGGATGCAGGAGCGCAACCAGAGTGACAAGTGTGCCGACCCCATCAAGAAAGTTCACAAGTCAGACTCTGGAAAAGGATGGGGTAGGAACCGAAGGAGGTGCTGAGAGGGCCTTCTTTGTCACGACCACAGGCATAAAACATCTTTTAGTTTTCAGACATATGTGATAATTTAATGACCACCAGCAGTGGCGGTGCATTTGACAAACTTTAAAACAAAACAAAACAAAACAAACAAAGAGTTTGTTGAGGCACTGAAGGTCTAGTATCATGCAAGCTTCACTGTGGGATACAGGCAGTGCTGAGTCACCACCACTCAGATTATGGCATGCCTCATTTGCTCTTTCTCTCTGTGTCTATGTGTCTCTCTCTGTCTCGGTCTCTCTCTCTGTCTGTCTCCCTCCCCCCATTCACATTCATTGAATCCTATGATTTGCTAAGCCCTGTGACTGGTGACACAGAACAAAAACAGATGCAGTCGTGTCTTCCTTCCAGGACTCAGAGAAGTTGAGGGGGTTCGCAGGTAGGATGTAGGTAGGTAAAAGAATGTGCATGTAGAATCATGAAATATTTAAACTAGCAGGGGCCTTGGAAACCATCTAAGCCAGAACTTTTCAACTTTTTTCCTATAAACTGGAAACCACTCCTTTTTAAAACTAAAATAGAGTCTCAAAGTATAAAAATGAAAACAACAACTGTCCAGGAGGGTGAGGGGTGAAGCTGGTGGCCTTCCCTCCACCCCAAATCCACTGAGGAACCTCTCCTGGCCAGAGGTCACAATGTACAATTTGTGAACATCAATGAATTCCCTGTCCGAAGCTTCAGTTTTACAAATGAGAAAATTAAAGCTCAAGCAGTTTACTAGATCTGACCCAAATCCTAAATTGCTTGGAAGAACGTGAACAAGGATGCAAGTCACCCGAATTCTACTTCCATGCCCATTCCACCCTGTAACTACAATTTAAACAATTCAAACTGAAAAAAGTAGAAATGTACAATAGTTGTCTTTCTTTTGCCATATTAAAGTTCAGCAGACTGGTCTGCAAAAGAATAAAAGAAACAGGACTTTTGAGGAATTTGGCATTTTGTAGTGGTAGGTTTTATAGACAGGGTCTCACTCTGTCACCCAGGCAATCAACCTTCTGTACTAAGGTGATTCTCTCGCCTCAGTCTGTGGAGTAGCTGGGACTACAGACGTGAGAGACCACACATGGCTAACCTTTTACTTTTTGTAGAGATAGGGTTTTGTTTTATTGCCTAGGTTGGCATCAAACTGCTGGGCTCAAGTGATCCTCTTGCCTTGACCTCCCCAACGTTCTGGAATTGCAGGTGTGAGCCAACACACCCAGCTGTGCAGCGAGTTTTAGGGCACCTGCCACAAATGCATTTCCCAGCTCTTATCCAGAACTTTGGTTCACAAATTATAACTGTCTTGTTGTCCTCCCCACCCGGAACAGTTAAATGAATAAATTTTAACATACCATTGGTCATTAAAAACATTATTTCTCATTTAAAAAGAAAACTGACATTATATAGTGACAAAATCAGATGTCTATATGGAAGGGACACTCTGGAGGTTGTTCTACAGAATTAAAAACATACCTCATATTTGTAGGTATAACTGTTGCATTTGAAATGAGTGACATATTGTAAGAGAAAACTTTACCTTATAAGGAAACATAAATGAAATTTTAACCAAAACAATAAATTCAGAGGCATCAAAAATTGCAGATGCTTAAAAAAAGTACATATATATGTATGTGTGTGTATATATACATATATATACATATATATATATCGCGCGACATATATACACATATACATATCTATATATATAAATATATATATATATATATATATATATCTCAACAGAGCAAAGAATTACGGCTTTTTAAATTAAATACACATCCAGGACAGATGGAAGCAAGATCTATAAGTGTCAAGTAATGTTGATCAGAAAGGTAATGGACCATTATTACATTGCAAGAAAACTCAACAGGGGCGAAAGCTCACATGACTCAGGATCTTGGAGACCAGATTTGGCAGCAAAAACCAAAAATGTGTTCTTCATCTGGCAAGAATAGGCTGCATATATTTGAAATCACAGGCTGATCATAGTGAAAAATCTGTCCAGATTGAGATGGAGAACTAGGCAGAGCTAGGGAAGGTGTAGCCATATTCTCCCTATGCTTTGCTTTGCTTATTGCTTTATGGCAGAACTATTCATCCTCCCAGAGACTTTCTAGGTTAGAGACAAAAGTTATGTATTTTGCTTTCAATCTTTGCAGAATGAGATCTTTTTAAATTTACAACTCTTTTTCCTCACTACAATCTTCTGTTGGGTCTATGTGACAGAATTGGTCCTCCCAAATGTTAGATTGCAAGTAATTTACAATCCACACAAATAATCTCTGGTCTCGGCTCTAACTTTGGGCTATGGGCCTCCAACTTTTCTTACAACAATTAGATGGGTAGAGTCACATTTTAGGTTAAAAAAAACTAAAATGTAAGTTAGCAGTTACGAGCCATATAAGCTGATCAATAATTTTTACTATTATGACTCCTAAGCCCTTTCTCTTCAAAGAAAATATATTACATAATATAGTTTTTCCATTAGTTTTAAAATAGGATGATTATTTTTATGCAATGTTTAACTATAACTCCCCCGAAGCATAATTTGTACATATTTATAAATTTTATTTTTTTCTCAATATACCAATGGAAAATACATTGCTCACACATATTAACCTTTGACTTTCATAATCTTGGCTTAAAATATTTTGTAATTTCAAAATTCACACACATACACAAACATATCACGCTAGTTCAGTTCAAGGAAAGCAAGAGTAATTCCTAAAAGTAAAACAAAAATGTGTTTTTAAGACCACAGATTCTTTCACATATTCACTAGAGACATCCTATTTTAGTCACTATAGAGCAATGGTTTTCAAACATTCTAGTTTCAGGATAACTTTACCCTCCTGAAAATTCTTAAGCACCCAAATAACTTTTTTGAATGTAGAGTATATCTATCAAAATGTACTGAATTAAAACTGAGGAAGTTTTAAAATATTAATTATTTTATAAAAAGAACAAGGCCATTTTGTTCTAATAGAAATTACACAGCCGGGCTCAGTGGCTCAGCCTGTAATCTTGCACCTTTGGGAGGCTGAGGTGAGTGGATTGCCTGAGCCCGTGGGTTCGAGACCTGCCTGGGCAGGTGAGACCTCATCTCTACAATAAATCAAAAAATTAGCCGGGCATGGTAGCATGCGCCTGTAGTTCCAGCTACTTGGAAGGCTGAGGTGGAAGGATCGCCAGAGCCCAGTGGGTCGAGGCTGCGGTGGCTGGGAGCGGCCACTGCACTCCAGTCTGGGCAACAGAGTGAGACTCCAACTCAAAAGAGAAAAAAAAAAAAAAGAAATTACACTTTTACAAAAAAAATACTATATTTTCCAAAAGCAATCCATGAAAACAATGGCAAACTTTTACTTTAATATTGACTGAAGAGTCTCATATCTACGTCTACATTCTATCTCAGGCAGTATCACATGACACGTGGCCTCGAGAAAAACCCACTACTTACTTTTGAAAGAATGAGACTAAAAGGGCAAATGATACCTTCTTTTTATGAAACTAGTTTAGGCCCTGAAGAGTCTCGGGAAACCCCAGGGTTCTCTGGAGCACACTCTAAGAACCCCTACTATACAGAGAGGTTTTCAATTGTTCTTCTTTTGGCCATGATAAACTTACAGGTTTCCATGCCTTCATCATCATCATCTACAGCAGGTTTATCGTAAGACTTGTCAATGGCAGCTCTAAAGCTCTCATTGCATCCCCTTCCTCGGATGATCCGCGGCCTTGGACGATGGAAAGGAATATCCCCATTCAAAGTCACCTCAGCAACCGCTGTCTGCAGACTCTCTAACGAGCTTGACTTCTTCAGACCCAGAGAAGGCCCCACATCTCTGCTGGGGGAGCCTTGGAGGTTTACAAAAACAAGATGTTAGTGAGAATTAGTAGTGAAAGCTATATATCTAAATATCTAACTATCTGTGTATTGTAGAAAATTTTAGGGACAAAAATTATTTGCTTAATGACGAGTTCTGGGTTGTAGATGGAAAAGATACAAAGAATAAGTAAAATAATTTCTATTTTTCACAAATTTATATTACATGTTATATATTTTTAAATCTGCATTAGGAAAAACTCTAAGTTTTTATTTTCATCTCAGCAGATGAAATTGTTGTCAAATCATTTTTGCTGCAAGTAAGAGAAATATTCTAAAAGAATTGGAATCACCCAGAAGCTCACCTGAAAAGCACTGATAATGGAAAGGCTAAGGTGAGCAACCAAGGGTAGGCATTTTCATTAATTGAAACCATTTTTGACAGTGTAAAACTCATTTATCACAGAATGAGACAACCCAGTGAGCTCCATCAAGTCTCTTCTCCAGTATACTGCAGTCTCACAGCCCTTCACAAGTAATACAGCCCTTCACAAGGTCCCACCTGTCACCAATACCATTAGGACAACCCTCCACTAGGTTGTCCTCATGGGAAATAGAAATGCTCTATGGAAAGAGCAATACAAGACTGAATAGAAACAAGTTACATAAGAGCTCTCTCAGAGGTGGGTAAAGAAGAGGAGACCAAAGAACTGAAAGTGAGTACTTCTGTCTCCAGGCCTGGGAATAATACCTGTCTGAAAAACAGGTGATAGACAGACAGAAGAGGACATAGCAATTCCCAAGAAAATCTGGGTAGGGCAGGAGGGAATTCAGGGAATTAAAAATTTGGCTCTATTTCCTGAGGATCTAGGGTAGAAATGCTTCAGATAATACCAATAGCACCAAGCTGTACAAGGCAATCAAAACTGATTTCTTTAACCTGAAGAGACAGCCTCACCCATCACTGCCCGACCTGACACTCAAAGGTAGACTAATTTAGCCTCTCAATGACTGAAATACCAGCTCTCACCACCACCTGGGTGACCAGGGTATAGAACTGTTTCTTCATTTATATTGTTAAAAAGACAGGTGGAAAAAAAATGGGAGGGTAGGAGAAACTAAATAGTTTATCTCTACATGGGGTCAACAGTCCATATGTTGATCAATAATTAAGGAGTAGCTTTGTCATGTTACTACCTGGAAGAGAAATAGTTGTGACACAGACTTTCCATAGTTCAGGGTATAAAACAGAATAATAATTATGTTGAGGGAGTTATAATAAGAATTATCTTTTTAAGATTCTTTACATCTTTCATTTAAATGTTCGCAATGGAGTAACAGTTTTAAGTAAGAATAGATATGTTAAAAATGTAGTATAGGCAAAAAGGCAGACGTATGGCTGTAATGAAGAAATAATGGTCTATAAATTGCTGTGCTTGAGAGAAAAGGATGATATATTTAACATTCTTGATGCAGGGTAGTATATACTTCATTATTTGCTTTATGACAAAAGTTCACATGAAATATTTCTTTCAAGGAGATCAATCTTACTTTTTCTCTTGGTGACACTACAATTTTTGAAAGTCCATTTTCTAAATTACTCATAAAAGTCATGTCACAGGAAGGAAAATCATTTTTGTTTTAAAGAACTAAACAAAAAATAACAAATCAAGAATAGGAAAAAAAATCATTCCTGGGCAGGAATTTTTACCTTCATTCCTAAAATTAGCATCAGGAAGATCTTTTTTGAATAAATTATGCCTATCAAATTTTCATAATTGACCAGCTGTATTTGGGTTCTACAAACATGCATTAGGCAAATATTTGGTGCTTTCTTAAGTTCATCAAGGATATGTGTATATATTTGTATATATCTGTGTGTGTGTATATAACTCTAATAAAGATTTTAAGCTTCCTGCAAGGATCATCATAGAAATGCCATTTATCCACATTAAGCTTTTCTTTATGCCAAGTTAGTTGGCATTTTACTTAATATACTCAGAGCAATGAAAACTTGAATAATGAATTTCTAAACTGGCCTGAGTATTTATTGAGTGTCCCTCAGCATAAACACAGGCAAATTTGGAAAGAAAAACGATGGTAAAAGTAAAACTCAGTAAGTAATAACAATTTTCTAAATGTAATTCAAAGGTTATCTATCTAGTCTTTTCCTTAAATTTATAACATTTTGGCACAATGCTGATAATTTGTGATGGTGGGCATTGAGTTTGTGGGAGGTCAATGAACTACTCTCTATTTATGTATGGTTGACAATTTTTAGAATAAAATGTTTTACAAATAGCCAATATTTATAATTTCTGAATCTGTAACAGGGATAGGCAAACCACAAGCCAAATGTGGAATATACTACAGGAGCATAGTCATGTCTGTTTATTTACATATTGTTTGTGGCTACTTTTATTCTACCACAGCAGAATTAAATAGTGCAATACACACTCTATGGCCTACAAGGCCTAAAATATTTACTATACAGTCCTCTATGGAAAGAGCTTGCTGATTCTTAATCTATAACATTGATATCACACATTTATGTTACTATACTTGACAAAGAAACTTTAACAAAGGTTTTAAGTGATATGTTAAGATTCCCAGCCGGGCTCGGTGGCTCAGCCTGTAATCCCACGCCTTTGGGAGGCTGAGTGAGTGGATTGCCTGAGCCACGGGTTCGAGACCCGCCTGGGCAGTGAGACCTCATCTCTACAATAAATCAAAAAATCAGCCG